TTCTAAACATGTAAACCCTTTCTTCTTTGGAGGATCACGCAGACATCAATCGCGCAGCTCTCTCATATTTCTCTCCTCTCTCGCGACGCTGCAGCAGGAAAAAAAAAATAGATCGACGGAAGAAGAAGAACAGAGCCGAGAACTCTCTTCATCATCACCCTCTCCCATCACCTCTGTCCGCCAATCACCACATGCTCGCGAGGCTCCACCACCGGTGACCCTTTCCTTGCAACTTCCGGCGCGCTTTCCTTGCCGTGAACAACAGCAACCGATCATCTTCCTCGCGCGCCACTACCAGCATGCCCGGCGACCCTTTTTCTGGCGAGCTCCATTCCAATCTCGCAGGTCCCGATGATCTCTTCTGTCCGCGAGTTCCGCCACGACCAGCACCTTCGCTGTGAGCCTCAGCAACTCTAGCGAGCCACCTCGAGACCTCCTCCTCAGCGACCCTCCTCGCGACTCTGTTTTTTCGGCGAACCTCAGAAACTCCAATCGCCGCCTCCTCGCCGTGAACCAGTCGCACAACCCTACTCGTGAAATTCTCTTCCGACGACCCCAGCAGCGACCCCAGCAACCTTCGACGAACCTTCATTCGTCGTCCGCTGCTCCTCCGTGGCAAGCGCCAAGCGCCGCAACACCTTTACGAGCCCTCCTTCCCCTCTCATAGCCGTGAACAGAAGGTCCCCGACGAGTCTTGATCCACGACTGCTCCTCTTCCCCCGGCAAGCCGCGTGAAACCGTCGAGCCGTTGCCGTAGCTGCCTCCGACGTGCCATTTGTTCCTTCATCCTGTTTTTCGAACGTGTTCCCGAGAATGGTACTTAGGCTCAAATCCCGACTCGTTCAATTTCGTGATATATGATGATATGACTTGTTATAAATTATCGAATTAACGTATGTAATAATTCAAGTGGAAATCGTAAGATGTTGTTTTTTTATCGTGTTTAAATAAGACCGAGTTGGACCTCGGACAATGTGTTTGCAATTTATCAAATTTTTAAGTCTTAAAGAATGGAAATCGAGGCTTGCTTAACATATAATTTTCATGATTACGGGGCGATGTTGTGTATGAACATTTTAAGTCGTTAAATGCATGAGAACTCAAAAATTCGAGCCTCCGTTGTGCTCTGTTTTTGTTGACCAAGAAGCTGTTTCTTGGATAAGTGTTCTTCTTGAGTTTTGTAGTGCTTTGAGTAAGGTTTCAGTGAACTTTTGAATCTTGTGATTTGGATTTGAAATGGATTTTATATGAATTTTCAAAGGCAGACAGGCGTGCAGTTTTTATAAACTCGGGCAGAAACTTTGACCTTAATTCATGGTTGTTTTTGATGATTTTAACGTGTCTGAATATAAATGTATTCTTCATGACAAATATAGTATACGTTGTAATCTAGCTGGCAGAGTTGGAATCTTGCAATTTGGAGGTCTAGTTGATTTTATATGATTTTTCTAAGTGGGATGTACACCCAATTTTTATGAACTAGGGTTGTGTTTAAGTGTTGAATGTGTGCTATGTTTTGATGACCTGAAAGTGTTCATATGAAAATGTTCTCTTCATAACAATTGTAGATTTCCATGTGTAGATTCTGAAGTTTTTGAGTTTGAATGAATTGGAATTGTGTAGCTTGAGTTGTTGCCATTTTACTAAAGTGTTGTATATTCGAAAAGTTGTTCGTTGTTTCTGTTGTACCTCAGTTTAAGCTATCAGAGATTGATTATTTGAAGTCGCTTTATTCTTATGAAACGTAGTATGATCAGTTGTTTGTATCTGGGCTTTAGAATTTCGTATTTCCGAGCTATATCGAATAAGTTACGATTTTTACGAGAATATTGCGCGTCCAGTTTTTCCTGCTACCAGCTTGTGTGTAATTAATGTGTGACCTGTTTATCATGTCGTAATGTACTCATATGAACTTATACTCTTCATGAAAGTTGTAGGTCTATTTCTTATCTTTCAAATGAGATACATTTCATATCGATATGTGCTCTGTAGCTCGAGTTGTGCCCTTTTGAAGGTTGACATGTATGAGATAAAGTTTTGTTCTGGGACATAAATCTGAGGCTGATTGTTAACTGATTTTACATTATCTTAATGACCATATATGCTTGAGTGTTCTTCACGAAAGTGATAGAGGCATGAGTTAGAGATATTTTCCAAGTGGTTTCATCATGATATGATTTGTAGACTGATAGCTACATGTATTTTAAATTCATCGTGCATGCTGAAAATTGTTGCAAGTTCATGTTTAGGTTTCTAAATTGAGTTGTATAGTTTAAAAGCATGTTTATGTGGCATAACTGAACCATGTCATGCTATGTGATGTTTATATGATCCTTCAATGTCCTAAGTGCTAAAAGTTAAGCAAGCCAAGGTATCCACCAACTGAAAAGACCTATACATAAAACGTTTTCAAAGCTTATATATATGTATAAGACTACGAGGATAAGATAAGCCTTGATAAGATTCTAAGTCAAGTCCCAGCAAATGTAGGTGATTGAGGAGTCCAGCCTCGACATACTTCCATTGCTTTGAGTTATTATCAATCTGGAAATCCAAGTGGGTTTATTATTCAAAAATTGTCTATGCCTTGAACTGTGAATATGTTTACTTACTTGGGTATGATCAAAGTATGAAATGTGTATATGTAACTTTCGGCGTGAGCTGTACCAGCCGTCAAACGGTATCCCCGTTGTTATAGAACGTACCCCGAGTGGGTAATCTTCTCTTGTCCTTCGCGAGGACCTTGGCATGAGCCTTGGTCGGTGATGGATTTCCTGCCTAAAACCCTCGGGGTTGGCAGACATGTCTAATACGCTCGGGGTTGACAGTGGATTTTCGTCTAATACCCTCGGAGTTGACGGATGACCCTCGTACTTTGGCAACGTTAGAGTTTCCGCAGGGAAACGATACGTGGACCAATTGTACTCTATTCTGATAGGTGTGCACATGAGGCTGATTATTGATTATGGATAGAAGATGGGAAAATTTATTGTCTATGTTCATACTTGTGACCATGCCATATTTACTTCTGTATTATAACTGTTCATGCGCATAGCGGTGAGCACAACGGATTCTATCTGCGCTCATCCCCACCTGCTCTTCATAGATGCAGGTTGAGTCGGCGCCTGCATGGCGGCGAGAGACGAGTGGTGGTCGGTTGTTTACCGGACCTCATTATGTAGCTTCTGCATTGCTATATTATGATTATTTTTGTCATTATGTTGAACTCTGGATTATTTATGATTTGAGAAGTTCAAATACTGGTTTGGGAAGATGCCCCGTTTGCTAATAATCGATTTTAGAACTTTGTATAAAACCCTGTGAGGGTAGTTTCGATTTCACTCTGGATATTTGATGATGTTTAAATTATTTGCGAGTAATTGATTTGCGAAAGTTTGTAAATGTTGGTTATATGTCGAGTAACGCCAAATGATTTATGAAAATAATTTCAGAAAAATTTTCATTGACTTTTTGAAAAGTCTTTGACTTTCGACTTCTAAAAGTGGGGCGTTACAATATACTTAAATATTTGCTTAAAAAAATGATACCTATAATGTAATGGAAAATATCAATGTAGTTGTAACTTAGTATCTATGTATTTTGTGGAAGAAAAGAGAAGAAAAATAATAATAAAATTAATAAAAATTAGTAGTAGGAGAGAGAAATAGTTGAAGATGAGAAAAACAAAATAATAAAAAAATGTGCGTAAAAAGAGAGAAAGAAAAATAATAAAAAATTACAAAAGTTAGTAGTGGAGAGAGAGAAATAATAAAATAATAAGAAAAGTTGGTTGGTAATGGGGTGATGTCATTTTTAATTTATTTTTTATTTATTTTAGTAGTAGGGAGATAAGTGAAAGATTTAAATGGGGGTAGGAAGTAGGGTCCCAAATAAAATACTTATTAGGGACTGATAAAAAAAAAAGTAAAAAGAGGTTTAGATATTTATCTGGAACTTGCCTATGAAGTATTGATGAATATTGAATTTTTTTAAAGCATATAAAAATTAAAATATAACTGGGTAGTCATTAAAAAAAATAATTAGGAAGCTCTGGAGATTCAAACTGAATCGAATCGTTCTGATAGCCCCGAATACCGAATCGAACAGAACCAAAAAATAAAAATTTCCAAATCGAATTGTCCTGATTTTTTGGTACGGTTCCAGAAATCGAATTTAGTGATCTCCGACTTTTGGTACGATTTCAAAAAATTTTCAATCTCCAAACCGAATCGACCGATAAAAGTGCATACCCTGAAGTCGATGTCCAAGAATTAAACTAAGTACATGCCCTACCATGTGTCTTTATCATGGAATTAAATGTTAAAAAAAAAGAATCTAGATGTTACAACATATAGAGCTATGAATAGTTTCATATTATTCATTTCTACAATGTTTTATGATTTCATTGAATAGTCAATTAATCATAAAACATATGTATAATTATACATATAGGATAATCTTTAATATTAAAGATTAATTTCAAACACCTCACTTGCATTTAGTTTTGTGCAACCTGTGAGTTTGCATTGTCGCAAGTAGTAGTACATATGTAACATTTATATCATAGTGCATGCATAAGAGATAACAATTGCAATCCTCTTGCTAAACATGATTCAAAACTAAAATTCATTAGAACATTCAATGGTAGAATAGAAAGCCTAACAAACAATTCACAAAATGGCTGGTGGAGTATAACATACCAATTTAAGACACTAATATGAGATCCAACCACAGATACCTCCAAGACTTATGGATGACCATCATTTTATTATTGAGATAACCAATTCCCATGACTTTACTTCTCAATGGACACAAACCAAGGGATAAAAAGAACACCAAAACAAAGCAACAACACTGGAAAAACAACAAGAAAACATGGGAAAGAAAAAGTATTGTAAGCTCAGAAAACATGAAGAACAACATTAACTGACTCGGAGTAATGATACTCGACAGACAATGCAGCAAATTTCATTGTGCTGTTCCTCAAAAAATCCACCGTTATGCGACCAAGGATATCTTACCAGTCACGTTCAAGTAAACTCGTTCCGTACTTGGCGTTCATCATATTTTCTGCCATTTGCGTCTTCAAGGTTTGTATTCAGAATTATGTGACAAAACTTATAAGTTTAGTGTGCTTATATATAGTTTCGTTACATTGCAGTTGGATGTTTTTATTGCACAAACAATCTATACGACTCGAAATTACCAAGAAAGCAAGACAAGGTACGAGACCAAGTTGTCTAAACACAAAATACCTTGGCATTTACATTATACTCTTACAACCATTGCCCAGAAATAGTTCAATTTTTTTTTTATTGTCCTTTGTTTCAGCTACTCCCGCGAACATTTTCTTGACAGTTAAGAATTTATCATGACCACAATATTCAGTATTTCACACATTTTTTCTAATTCAATAATTTATTTTTTATTAAATTCTCGCGGAGTTTTTATACATACATTTAACAGGGAAACTACAATAATAAGCCCAACTTTAGACTACAAAAATGGCACTTTCAACCAGCAATTCATCATCTCATGGGGCGAGAGCCATGCCCAGATACTTGACGATGGAGAGCTCTTAACCCTCTCTCTCGATCGGGACTCAGGCTCAGGTTTCCAGTCAAGAAAACAATTCCTGTTTGGAAGGATCGACATGCAGATCAAACTTGTACCTGGCGACTCTGCAGGCACTGTCACCACTTATTATGTAAGTCTCATAAGGTGATGTAAACTGCAAATATATTTGACGATGATATTAAAAGTCGAGTTTCTTTAAAATATTACAAATACCCTCTTCTATATATATATTTTTTTTCATTTCATAAATGCCACAAATACTTTGGGAATAATTTGGTATTAACGTTTCATCAACTTGCGCGGATTATTAGATGATGTCCCAAATTTCGTCTGAAGATGATTTTCACGATGAGATAGATTTCGAGTTCCTTGGGAACTCGACTGGCAATCCTTATACACTCCACACGAATGTGTTCAGCCAAGGCAAAGGTGAAAGGGAACAACAATTCTTTCTGTGGTTTGATCCAACTGTAGAATTTCATACCTATACCATTGTCTGGAATCCCAAGGGCATCATGTAAGTATACCCACAAATACTCTCAAAATATATTAGAAGCATTTTAGTATCATTGAATAAGTAATAGGCAAATTTTAGTTGTGTTGGTTTTACACGATAGCAATTTTAGTCCCAAGCTTCCAATCTTTTGCCTTTTGGTTATATGATTTAATATTTTGCTGCAATTACGTCCTTTGAGGATTGAAAATGCAACAAAATTTTTAATCATAGAAATAAATTTGGAAATTTGTTGCAATTTAAGTCTTCAAAGGACTGAAAAAGACTGAGATTGCAGCAAAATATTAAATAACAGGACCAAGAGGCAAAATTTTTTAGAATTTTGGGACTAAAAATGCTAGCGCGTTGAACCAGAACTAAAAATGAAATTTAGCCTAAATAATAATTTATTCCATTGCTAACAAGTCAGTCTTGTTTGTTTTCTCCTTCAAGATTCCTTGTGGACAACATCCCCATAAGAGAATACAAGAACCCAGAAAGACTAGGTGTCTCATTTCCTAAAAACCAGCCTATGAGAATATACTCGAGTCTTTGGAACGCAGATGATTGGGCCACACAACATGGTACGGTGAAAACAAATTGGACGTTAGCTCCATTCACAGCTTCTTATAGGAATTTCTCGTCAGACGGTTGTGTGTGGTTAAGAGGAACAAGAAGATCTTCTTGCACAGATGATGATTTTTCGACAAAACCCATTCTAAAAATGGAGTTGGATAGGAGGAGTCGTATGAGGATGAAGAGGTTGCAACAAAAGCATATGGTGTACGATTATTGCAGGGACAAATGGAGGTTCCCTAAGGGACCTGGTCCTGAATGCAGGCTTAATTAGCCTCAAAAAATTTTGTATTTCTGTTTTTCTTTTTTTTTCCTTTTCATGGGTTGGTAAAGAATATATAGATATTACTCTTGAGTATGCATTTTGTTGAATTGGTAGTAATGAAGTGAGCTCTAGTAGATGTTTATTTTTCCTTTGCTGTTATAATTTTAAAGAATGATTATAGTAATTGTCATTGAGGTTTAGGCTAGAACAACAATTTGTAGCGCTCTATTATTTTAATACTCGTTTATTTTATATAGATTTTCTATTTTATTTCATCATTTGAAAATAAGTATTTTTTTTCAAACGACAGAAGAACTTCTTATAACCAAATGGGAGAAAAAATACATGGGAGAGTCCCGATCCTGATGAGTCACTGAGAGAGCAAGCACCACAAGTGCCACCTAATCCAAACCAAATAGCTAAACCAATAAGAATACAAACTACTCCACACCTAAGCACAGCAATACAAACACACCACAACTAGCCATAGCAACTCATAATACAGTACACAACAAACTTAAATGCAACAAGAACAAGCAAAAAGAAACAAAACCATTGACACGAGAGCTAGTCTTGTTCTTTTTACTGCTCCAGCTGAAACCGTATTTCTTCCTTGTAATCTATCCAGTCACTACATCCTGTCTTGATGATCCAAGTCTCTGGTTGCCATTTCTTCTGAAAAAACCCACAGGTTACGAGCCCGCCAAAGCCACCATAAGATTTAGGTGGAAAGCTGAATTCGATCTTCAGCAGTCTCAAAAGGCATTGAACTGATCCACCACCACCACTCCTTTACAGTAAACTGCTCATCATGGATTATGTTCCAATGCAGAAGTGACAACTTTTATGTCTTAAGGGCTCTAGGACACTGAAATAACGCATGCTTATGTGTCTCCTCTGCCTCACCACACACTGGACATTCAATTGCCACTGTTACCCCTCTTCTTGTAACACCCCGCCTTGACATGAAAATCAGAGCACGCTTTTCGCAATCACATTCAAAATAAAACATTTTACATTGCGAAGTACTGATTCGGAGTGCTACCGAAATACATAACTAACTGAAAAATCCAGACTTTTGGTTTGAAAAACCAACTACTAGTTCGCCGACTGATTCATTTGACTAAGAATGACGAACAGTAAAACATCAGCGGAAACTGTAGTGGTGAAATTGGATAGCAGTACCGTGATCGTGAAAACAAGTTATCTGAAAATAATAACGGCACTGCTATGCCAAATTCAAACTGTACAAAACATAATTTAAGATTTATAAGCATAAAGCTTAGGTAATTTAAACTTTATAAGCATAGTCCCAAACAGCTCTGTCATCTCACTCCTTCGTCCCGACTTCATGACCTGAAAAACATGATAATAGTGGGAGCGTGAGCACTAAAAGCCATTGTGCTCCGCAGAAACTCATACTGAAGTAAAACAGTAATAATAATTGCAAAATCATGATCTAGAGCATATATAACTGAACTGTCATGTCATGTACTGTAGCTGCGATCAACCGTAACTGCTACGGGATCTAATACTGTATCTGGCGGCTATAATATACTGCGCCGCGCCTATGTGCACACTCTAGTGGGCAGATTACGCCACTAGAACTCAGATGGTCTTACTTTGTCTAGCCTCACTGAGCAGGACTGAATATACATACCTTGAACATGATAACTGTAATTATACTCAATGTAATACTTAGTCTGAGTTCCCACCTGAACTGCTGGTTTGAAAATGTAAGTGCTGATATCTGGATCCTGAACAAACTGAAAATCATATAAATAATTACTAAATACTATGATCAGGATGATAAAATAATTGTTTAATATGTTAATATGCTCTACTGGACTTAAACATAATATTTGGACTTAACCGGTATAACCAGAACTGATAAACTTGGAACTGAACTGACATGAATTTACTAAACTGGACAGGACTCGGAATTTAACTGAAAATGGGACTGAAATCATGAACTGGGACTGAAAATAATAACTTATGGTCAAAACCGGTCTAAGTTGATTGAACCGGGTCTGAACCGGTCCGGCCGATCCGCCGGCCTGCTAGGACCGGACGATCAGCGGCTGACTCGGCACACTGCCCTTGCTGCGGTCATGGGCACGGTTACTGGCATTCCGAGTGTGGCACGGCCACTTGCAGGGCCTGCCCTGGCCACGGTCGAGGTGCTGCGTGCACCTGGCCATGGCTGAACATGAACTAGGTCCGTCGGGCGTGAACTGGAGCCGAACGCTACGTGCGTCGGCTGCCGCGTAACTGGGCATAGTCGGGTGTTACCGCACACCGCGACGTGCTGCTGAGCTTATAAACACGCGCACAAACGCTAGCTGAACAGGACTGGCGCTGTGCGGGCCACTGACATGCGATACTGCATGCTGGCGTGCGTTACTGCACGCTGGCGTGCATGACTGGGTGTTAGCGTGCGCACGCGCATCGCCAACAGTCACCTGTTGCGGGTACTGGCCCTACGCGGCGCTATACCGCGCATCACCCTAAATGCTGATATATATATATATATATACGGTAAAACTTGGAGAATTTGGAAGGAAATTCTCGGCCAAATGGTGTGAAGCCATTTGTCGTACGTCTAAGGGGCGAGAGTGGCACTCGGGGTGCTTATTCATCCAATCTGTTGCTTAGTCATAGTCCGAGTAACCACCAGCCCTCCATGTGTCGTGAACGGATGAGGATGTATGTAAGCCCCGGACCAAAATTATATTAGTAGCTCGACTTTATTTATCGAAATTAGTATTATTTTAATTATGCAGAGAATTATTAATATTAATTGCATAATTTATTTATTTTCAAGTCTAAGCCATAAAGGAGCATCCAATTAATTAAACTACCGAGCCCAACATTTTATTGGGTCCATTTAACGACATTTACTTTCTTAAGCTCGAGTTGAATTTATTATAATTAGTTGGCCCCTTTTAATTCGAGTAGTTGAATTAATTTCTAAGCCCAAGCGATATTTTAAATATCGAACCCTCGTAGTATTTTTATTTCAAGCCTAGTTATTTAATTCCGAGCACAATATTATTTTTCTGTCTAAGTCGAGATTATTATTTCAAGCCCATCATATTTATTTGACCGAACATTTCAAATTTCTAAGTCGAGTCGACTAATTATCCTACGCCTAAACCGATATATATAATCGAGCCCAATCTATTAGGCCCGATACTGAGCCCAATAACAAGAGTAAAACCCTAGTCTCCTACACCACCTATAAATAATTGTCTCCTTGTCGCCCAACACAACAACAACAAGAAACCCTAGCCCCCAAGTTACTATTCATCATCTTCCTTTCAAGAACACCTTCCATTTTCAAGATCTTGTGCAAAAAACCTACATTATGTCTTAGATTATTCATAGATCTAGCTCTAAAAATGCAAACCCTACCTTCAAAGCCAAGAACTCAAGCTTTCCTTCTTCCTCTATCCATGGCTTGACCTCTATTCCGGCGAGCACTTATCTTTTCCGGCGAACCACTGGCCGGCGAGCCTCAGCCCGAGCACACCACGGCCCCAAGCCCTCAGCTCGAGCATACCACGGCCCCAAACCCTCAGCCCGCTGTCAAATCGCGCAGCTCTTTCCTCGAACCATTCTCGCCGAAAAAACCTGCAACTCCCAAGCTCCCCGGCGAACCTCCATCCCCGGCGACCGTGTTCCTTGCTCCGACGACCAGCTGACCTCAGCAAGCTCGTGACCCGACTAGCGAGCGTCCATTTGCAGCAGCTCGAACCTTCACGCGCAACCACCACTCCCAGGCCCAATTCCGGCGAGAACCCACCAGAAAAAATAGCTCCTCCGCGTCATTGTAGCTCGGCGACCTGACCAGCTCCTCTCACGCGTGCATCAGACCCGACCAGAAGCAACCACACTCGATCTACTCGCGAAGACCCGTGACAAGCTCGGATCTACACCCGAGCACATTCGTATGAGCCGCCTTAGCTCGATCTGTTCAAACTTGAACCATCTCTGACCAGAACTGAGGCCCTCGGTACAGAATAGAGCATCTTAGCTCAAATCTGAGCCTCTTAGCTCTGCCCGACCCGAGTACGAGCACAACCGGGTCGTTTCATAGCTGTTTTGATTTTTTCGATTTCCGATTTGAACCCTTCGAGAGGTATAACGGCTTAAAACTTACTCCATGAGCTTAATCGAGTATTTAGATGAATTTTAAAAATTACGGGAGGTGATTTCGAGCATTATAAGATTTATGGTGAATTTATCGGCTTAAATGACCTTAAATTCCGTAAATATTGTTTGCTGCCCGGAAAAATGCAAAACTGGCGTGATAAATTCCGTTAAGTTGACTTGAAGCCTAGGTTTTAATTTCGTGATTTTTGGTGCCCGTTTAGTATGTTAACTGGATTTTTGAATATGTAGCTGAAATGCCCGATTTTTGATAAATATGATAAAGACCTCGAAATTCGATGCAAATTTCACAAAAAATCTTATAAATGCTGAGTATGACGTGGTTAAAATTTCATAATTTTTAGAGGTTGTTTGGTATGCCTACAAATTCGGGACTTTAGCTGCTTTGGTGAAAACCCTAGAATTTATCCGGTTGGGATTTAGCTAAAATCACTAGAAATCACGTTGAACTTAGAGTTTGAGTTTTGACTTGAACCGAGATAGATATCCGGTTGAGTAGAGAACCCTAGTTTGGCCTTTTTCTTTTCAGTCCAGATAAACTCTAGATCCGAGTAGAAAAGTTGTGCGTCGACTGATGTCGTGTCCGTGCGTATGTACCCGGACCACGATTAAGTCGAGTTGCACCCAGTCAGATAAATAAGATCAGTCAGATAAGTTAGATCAGATAAATCAGATATGCAGACCAGACTTAGAAACATGTCGAAGAACTCTATAATGCCTCAAAGTCAACAAATCTTTTCAGAATAGCTCAAAGCATCTAAATCCAGATTAAATGATATTTTAATCGAGCGAGAGTGTTGTAGCAAATTATTTTTATTTTTATCGAGTACCGAATC